TTTTTTTATATAGCTTTATTTAATGTCGCATCAACCATCGGGGATTATTAGCGACATAAGAGTTATACATTAAAGTATGTTATACATATTGGTTTGCTTAAGATATTTTAGTAAATTTATTGTAGTTGTTTTGGCATTTAAGTTGTTTTTAGTGGTAGATTTCGTAAAAAATTTCTGTCGGACTGAAGTGAGTTTTCTGCAGTGCAAGATGATGTAATGCTTGATAGAGGTTGCAATTTTTGTAGGTTTTTAAGTTTTCCAGTTTCCCTGAGTTGTCGTTTTTTTTAAAAATTGGTTCCTTGTGGCAGATTATTTCTGGTTGTAGTTCGTTAGTTAATGTTTGTAAGTGTTCTAATCTACTGTAGGAGCTGTTAAGGTTCCACTGTATTATGCGTAAAGGCATTTTTTGTTGTTGTTAAATTTGTTTATGATGATTCGAGTTCGGAGGCAGAGGATTCGCGAGGATTTATTTCTTTCTCCAATTTTTTGACAAGGCGATGTAGCCTGTTTTTGATGCTTCTTTCTTTTAGTAGGGTCCGTACTTCTCTAATCATATCTATTGTTGATTCCGTGTCTGAAGTGTACTCCTTTAGGGTGTCAAAAGGATTTTCTTTGTTGTAGGTATTTTATTATTGGGCTTTTAAATTGGTTGTAATTGAGGATGAAATTATTTTTTGGGTCGTTAATGGTTGCTTTGGCTGGCTTTAACATTTCGTCTATTTTCTCAATGTTTCTTGTGGCAAGTGAGCTTTTTTTTTGGTTTTTGTTTAGGTTTGTTTTTAACAGTATCCCAGCATCCAGCATCTCAGGAAGAATTCATATTTCCATCTCCAGGAATTGTGGAGATGGGTTCGATTTCAGGTAGGGTGGCTGTTTCATCTACATCTGTGTGGTTGGTTGAGGAAGCAGATAGTGGTCTTTTGTTTGGGAAGGGTTTAGAGATGGTAATTAAGTGGTCTTCTATAACCATAGTGGTAATGGAAGAGAGTTTTGGTTCGATGTTGCTGGAGTTGGTAAATTGTTGGCTGTCCGTCTTTACTATTGCTGCTGTTAGGGGAGGACAGTTTTTGGTTTTTCTATGTTAGATATTGGGATGTTGGTTTGTTGCTATCATTGGCTGGTGATATGACCATTTTGCTTAGATAAGGAGAAGATAACCTTGTCGTTAGCGGTGAAAATTCTATACTGAATATCTTCGTGGGTGACCATGAACGATTCAGGGGCCTTTCTTGCGTCGTCTGGGTTAATGTGTCGATTACAGGCCCGTGGCAAAAATCGATGGGTCATTTGAACCACCAGGAAACCTATTTGAAAAGATGCAGGGGCATGAAATAATAACATTTAGCACTATGCCGTCACTTGTAAGCTGTCCAACTGAGTGCAAGTGAGAATTCAAAAGCATAGGTAGAGGGGTTACTTTTTGGTCATATATTTTTGTACGGCATTCTTACCACCAATAGATCTATCGAAAATAATGAGAAAACAGTGTGCCACAAAGTCGGAAAAAATTTTTGATTTTCCGGCTATTTTCTGGGTCAATTTGGTCATTTGATTTTGTACGGCGTTGGTTCCATACAATTTTAATACCTTTTATAATTCATTATTCCGCAACGCCGTACAAAAATCATGCAACAAGGGTGAAAAATCGAGGGTGTCAACCTCCCCCTCTTCAGTGGTCCTGGAGGGTGATTTGACACAATATAAAATTAATTTATTTTGAAAGTATTTTATGCATAAATAATATTTTTCCACATGAGGTACATTTTTTGGAGTCCAAGGTTCTGTAGGGGGAAAAAACTCCCGAAAAATCCATATAAAAAAATTTACTTTTGGGTGATATTTAGTACGACATTTTTTTGTACGGCATTTAGATAGTTTATTTTTATTGAATACAATTGTTTATAAAAAATCAATGCCGTACAAATTTGAAAGTTCATATTCATAAAAAAGTAATAAAAATAATAAATATTTATAATTTTCATTTTATGTTGTTTGCTTCGTAAAATGAACTCTCCTTTAAAATAATTATTAATTAAATTATTATTATTACTATTATTAACTGGCATTAGGAACTCGAAAGTTCATTGCCGCAAATACCAAATCCCACCATTGTTCCCGTCCCTGAGCGCGATCCTTCTATTTGCGGTCTTCGTATCCTATTTCTTTCAGGTCCCTTCTAATATTATCCTCCCATCTACGTCTTGGTCTACCTAGTGGTCTTTTCCCGTTTGGTATACCGACCAATATTTTGTGCGCCGTTCGATCCTTCCCCATGCGCGCCACGTGACCAGCCCATCTTAATCGGCGTGATTTTACGATGTTGATAATGTTTGTTGTACAATCGATGTACTTCAACGTTATGGAGTTTTCTCCATTTGCCCGTTCTCCATCGCGTTTTGCACCGAAGATTTTACGAACAACTTTGTTTTCGAAAACCCTAAATTTCTTTTCGTCCTGTAACGTGAGCGACTACGATTCGCTACCATAAAGAACTACCGGCAGGATGATTGTCCTGTATATCCTGATTTTTAATCGCCTAGACAGCAACCGCGAGCAGAGTAATTTGTTAACCGAATAGTAACATGAATTGTCTAGATTAATTCTTTTCTTAAGCTCTTCGTTAATTTCATTCGTCTGGTTTATGATCGATCCTAAATACTTAAAGTTGCTGACCCGCTCAAAAGTTTTATCCCGGACGACCAAAGTTCCAGTATTAGGCCTATTCTGAACTCTATCGGTTACCATATATTTGGTTTTTTCCGCGCTTATTTGCAGTCCCAGATCTTTAGTACTATATATTAATATTTTTGCGTTATTAGTTAATGCCTTATCATTGTCCCCTAACAAAGCAATATTGTCCGCGTATGTCAACAATTGTGTTGTCCCGTTCAACTGTAGACCATTTTTACTTTTCTGCAGTTCTTTGACAGCGAATTCCAGTACTAAATTGAACAAAAGGGGTGACAATGCGTCCCCCTGTTTTAACCCGCTATGGATATTAAAATCTTCCTAAATTTGGTTACTTAACCTCACTTTACCCCTAGTTTCCTTTAGGCAAAGTTGAACAAGGTTGACCAATTTTCTTTGTATCCCCTGTCATATTAGGATTTCTAGCATTTTTTCTCGTTTTACCGAGTCGTACGCTTTTTGAAAATCTATATAAAATTGATGTACCGGCTGATTAAATTCCCATGTTTTCTCTAAGATTTGCTGAATAGTAAAAATTTGGTCTGTAGTCGATCTATTTCTTCTAAAACCGCACTAGTGATCTCCTATTATCTCGTCCGCATACGGTACTATCCTAGCTAGTAAGATGTTTGATAGTATTTTGTAACACGTCGGTAAAAGTGAAATACCCCGGTAATTATTACAATCCATTTTGTCTTCCTTTTTAAAGATTGGGATTATAATCGACTCTTTCCATTGTTCCAGCAATGTTTCCTTGCTCCATAATTATTTGATTAGCTCAAAAATTTCTTCGATTAATCTATTTCCCCCCCCCCCATTTTATTAGCTTCTCAGGAATCGAGTTGTTACCCGGTGATTTATGATTTTTTAGTTTTTTAATCGTGCTTTTTATTTCTAACATCGTTGGTTCACTAACCATAGGTTCCGCCGTATGGAACTCGAAATTCTCAGTTTCTCGGTCGTTCTCAGATTCTACATTTAATAACCGATCAAAATAATTTTTCCACCTGTTCAACATCCCCGTTGTATCCGAAACTAAATTATTGTTCGCATCTTTCACTAGATCCGTCCTAGCTTGGAATTCCTTTCTGAGTCTA